ATTAAAAAAAATTAAAACAAAGTCCGTCGAAAATTTCAGTTACACATAACACCGGTCTAAATTCAATTCTCATATACTATATTCGTTCTTAAAAAAATAAATGTTTTACAAAAAAAAAATGTTTTAGAAAAACATATATTTTTGTGTTTTCTATACATTTTTATCATTAAATGGTAAAGAAATTATAATCTTTAATAAAAATATTGAATTACTACTGGTTAAAAATTTTTGAAAACAGTTGATTAAAAAAATCAATACATTTCTTATAGACTACTAATTATTTTTTATAATATGTGTAAAATCTTCAAAACATTTTTTTTTTCTTAACGAGGAGTACGTTTTTTAAAACTTTTAATGCTCCTATTAAACTTTTTATTGAGAACTGTGTTTGATCAATCGTTTTTAAACAGTAACTTGTTTTGGATTCCTCGGTCTCTTAAATTTGAAACAATTACACCTAGAGACATTTTCTCAACAATTGTTTACACTTTGAAGCACTTTGTGCAATCAACACACTTTCTTACTGGCTATTGACTATTCTACACTCACCTGTATTTTATCTCGCAATAAAAAAACACAACAAAATTAATTTCATGTTGAATTGAATTCATACGCAACTCTCGTGTGTGTATACATGCATGGTCCCAAATGAAATAATTCACCCACTGACTCGTCCGAGTCACTCAGTCTCCCACTAACCTTCTTCGACCTTCTATGGCTCAAACACAGAGCCGTCGAACGAGTCATCTTCTACCAACTCACCGACGTAACTCGCTCTTTCTTCGACTCAGTCATCGTCCCAAATCTCAAATCCTCTCTCTCCTCATCCCTCTCTCACTACCTCCCACTCGCCGGAAAACTCGTCTGGGACCCACTCGATCCCATACCCAGCATCGTCTACTCCCCAAACGACGCCGTTTCATTCACCGTCGCCGAATCAAAATCCGACTTCTCTCTTTTATCCGGCAACAAACCATCCTCCGCCACCGAGTTGAACCCATTAGTACCCGAGTTACAAATCTCCGACGACTCAGCCTCCGCCGTGGCGTTTCTA